TCTGTATCCATAAGCAGGTTTTGGAAAACCAGAAGGCTCTAGGTCTGGGCCCTGCGAGCACTTTCCAGTGACAGATTGAGGCAAGCTTTTACCCTTCCTACGTGTTCCCTAGTGATTCATGTCACACTGCATGCTCCCATAGGGGCAGATGCCTGCTCTGCATACATTGTGGTCACTATCCCTCACACAGACAGCAAGGGAACACATTCGGGATTTCACTGCCAATATTCATTCACTCCGGGAGCCAGTGTATCTGTCATGACTACTTTGGTGGCAAGTGACAGAGTTACAACTCCAAACAGCATTAACCGAAAAGCTGAAAGGGTAGCTGGGTAGTTGAAGGCGTGAAGCTGGCTTGAAGGCAAACTCGGATCTAGGAAGGCAGACCGAGAAGTCGCTCTTTTCTCTCCAGCTCCTGGCTCTGTCCTCCTCTGTTTAGTCTTCATCTTCAGGTGGTCTGTCCCAGTCTGTGGCAGAGAAGGCCACACAGCTGCAGGCCTGAATTCCCTGCACCTGGAGATTCCAGGTGAGAAAGGCAGCCTATCTCCTTGTAGTTCCAGCAGTGGCCCACAGGGGGCACTCATAGTCTAGGTAAACCGCAGATCTAAGCCCAAGGTGTACAGTCAAATGCATGCTTCCCCTGCAGCCAGGTGTGCACCTGCAGCACACCATCGTTCCTTCCCACTCTATCTGACTTCTATTTTGCATGTCTCGCTTCATTCGTTTGCTAGGGCTGGCTGCCACAACAGAATTTCTGCCAGCAGAGCTGGTTTCCTCTGCGGCTGGTGGATGGCTGCCCCTTTGCTGTCTTCTCACATGGTTGTCCCTCCATGCATAGGCTCCCTGGCTGTCACCATATGTCCAAATCTTCTTAGGAAGACACCAGCCAGATTGGATCAGGCCCTACCCTGACAGCCTCATCTTAATCTAATCACCTCTTTAAAAACCCTATGTCTAAGTAGCGTTACATTCAGAGGTACTGGGGGTTTAGGGAATCAAGATTTGAAATGGGAGAGTGAGGACACATTTCAACTAGCAAATGGCAGGGCTGAAACTGCCCTGAAGGAGGCTGCGTCTAACCCTTACCCATGATGCGTACCCATGACGCTGTACTGTCCCTGCTGGAGCTCATGGCAGCATACCTGGAGGTAAAGGCTTTACAACGCTCAGCAATGGGGAAAATGAGAGGCTGTATCTACTGAAAACCTCAGCAAGGTCCAGGGACACTCTGTCTATATGATGCCCCAGGAGGATACCACTGGTATGGGAGAGCCTTGGCTGTCAGCTGAGCTGTGGTTCAGCAAGCGCTGTTTGTTGTCGAGGAATCTTGGGTTTTCTTCTCTCTCTGCAGCATTTTCAGATTGTTTCTCTTGGGCTCCCCAAAGATCAGGTATCATGAGGACGTTGAGAAAATACGAATAGCCTTCTCTCTTCCCTTTTCCATCAGGTAGAACCCCGTTTCCCGAAGTGTGGAATTCAGACAATTGGTGAAAATGTGAGATGTGATTAGATGTTACACAAACCAACGTATTTGGAGAGTTATGAATTTATGTGAATTTGTATTAAAAACATATAACCAGGCCAGGTGTGGTGGTTCATGCCTGTAATCCCAGCACTGTGGGAGGATGAGGTGGAAGGTTATTTGAGGTGAGGAGTTTCAGACCAGTTTGGGCAACATAGTGAGACCCTCCTCCATCTCTACAAAAAATTAAAAATAAAAATTAGCTGAACATGCTGGCACATGCCTGTAGTCCCATCTACTCAGGAGGCTGAGGTGGGAAAATCGCTTGAGTCCAGGAGTTTGTGGTTTCAGTGAGCCATGATCACACCACTGCACTCCAGCCTGGGCAACACAGCAAGATCCTGTCTCTTAAAAAAAAACAACAACAAACTAAAGACAAAACAAGCTAACCCAAACAAAAAGACCCACATAAACAGTCCCACAAACCTGCACTTTTCACTGGCATTAAAACAGAAACATCAGATACATGTCATTTGAAAGAAAAATATCGAGTAAATAGTATTAAGAAAATAAATAATTTGACAAAATAATGAAGGTGATGCTTGAATGACTCAAATCTGGGAAGCTCCGGATGGTTCCCCTGAGAAGGAAATGCTTCTGGCTATGGACATAGATGTCATGCAATTTTAAACCTTGTGTATCTGCACATTTAGTTCTAATTTTCCCTGAGACTGACCACAGATGGTGACTTCTTGCTTTTAGCTTCTCTTATCTGTGTCTCTGAACCAATCATATTGGACGAAGGCAAGTACAGAGGTGAAAGGCTTGTGGGTGGTGGGGAGAGGCTGACACTCTTCTGCACAGCCCCTGCACTGTATTCATCTGGAGTCTTGTTACAGAGCTTCTGAGTGGCTTGGCACCGCCCATAGCTGAGTATGTAGGCAGGTGTTTATCACTGTGCAGTCGAGATTTTTAGCAACTCAAAGTCTGATGTGGAACAATACATTTAAAACTGAATTCCACATGGAACTGGCATAATTCTGTGAGATTAATTACTATTAATTTTAGTAGTGCTTTTGCCCCCTTGAATTTTGCTAACAGTGCTGAATAACGGCCTTTTACTCCACGTTTGGCCCTGTGGCCAGCTACAGCTGCTGATACCTTCCACAGCTGGCACCGATGTCCGTGAACTGGGTGCCTGGTGAGGGTGAGGGCTGCAGGCACAGGACAGCTGGCTTCTTGTTCTCATCTGCTCAAGCGCTTAGCCTGTATCATGGCTGCGAATTACAACTACTGTATTATTGGCTTTAAGCTCTAACCTTCTGTGGTTTCTGTGGCCTCCCAAGCCACAATCTGCTTTACTGATTCAAGGTTGATCTCCAGTGTCCAAAGGAGTTGCATATGTGGGGAAAGGCCGCCTTTTAGAATTCCAGTCTGACTCAAAATGTTATGTCTGTCCACGAAAGGAAGGTGGGTGAGAGCAGCGCTTCATTCACTTCACCGTGTGTGTGAATCACCTGGGGATCTTATGAAAATACAGATGCTGATGGGGCAGGTCAGGTGGGGCCTGAGGTTCTGCATTTTGCACAAGCTCCTGGGTGATGCTGATGTTCCTGGTTAGGAAAGACACTTTGAGTGGCAAGGCCTGGAACAATTCTTCCTATACCCAGCATGTTGACAACCACAGTGCAAGCCAAGCACCCTCCTCAAAGCCGGGATGCATGAGCGGTGTCCTTCTAGAATGTGCATGGCTGGCCCCTGCCTTCCCTCCCGCCTCTTCTAATCTTATTCTCCCCTGCATTCGCTTCACTGCATCCTCATTGGTATTTTTTGTTCCTCCAATAAGCCAAGCTCTTGCTCACCCCAGGGCCTTTGCATCCACTGTTCTCTGTGCCAAGAATGCTGCCAACCCCACTTTTCCCCAGGTACTTGGTTTTCATCCTTTGATTAGCATACAAAGGGAGTTCCTTTCTCACACTACCTATTTGTTGTCTCTGTAGCAGTTATCTTCATGTGCCATCTCTTTTTCTGTTGCCTTATTTATAATTCATTTCTCCTTTAGACCGGAGTCCTTGAGAAAAGCCTATACCTGCCTCCCACACTGTTGTATCCTCCGTGCTCCTGCCTGGTAGGAGACGCTTGCTCATGAATATTTGTTGGCTGCATGTGTAGGCATGGAGCAAAGATGCATTTTTGAGTATCTTTTTGCACATTTGCGCCACCTGTCTGGAAGGGCTGTGTTGGGGCTGAAAGTTAGCATTGGTTTTTATTGAAGAATCACAGAATGAGAGCTCAGAAAAGGAGCTACTTTTAATTCTAAGCCACATCTCATCTTCAGAGATGTCGAAATGTGAACAAAGCGTGCATCTTTGAAACAGATAAAATACAGTAAGTCTAGCATGTCTTAAACAGAGGTCATGTCAAATTCATTTATAAAATATTGGATTAAACAAAGGTACTGTGGTAGGACTTCTCAGGACTTTTGGCAATGTGCATCATGAGTCTGCAAGAGAAGGGACGTGATGTGCTCTTTCACGGCACAGTGGCTGTGGCAGAGGCGCTGTAATTCCCCCACCCAGAGGCCACTCGTTTTCTGCCCAGCTCTCCTTTGTTGGTAGAGGGCCTGCCTCCCACTGTTGAGGCTGAAAATGCCAAACGCCCAATTTCCCAGCCTTCATTATAGCAGGAGCATGGACATATTCCTAGTTCTGGCCAGGTGGGATCCGAGCACAAGTCTATTGAGGACTTCGGAAAAGTTTTTCTGACTACAATAGACATGCAGTAGACTTTCTTGTTTTTTGATGTGATTGTGTGGGGACATGATGCCTGGAGCACAGCAGCCTCTTGTAAACATGGGGGACATGCTGGCTGAGGACAAGAGCTAAAATGCTAAGGATGGTGAGGTACAGAGATGCGAACCACCTGGGCCCTGGACTCCATTCCTGAGCTGCTGAATGTACTAACTCTGTACCTTGGACTTCTGCACCAAGACAACATGTGATCTCACCGTTGAAGCCACTTGTAATAAGATGCTCTCTTTACCTGCAGCTGGAGGGATCTTGCTTACTAAGAGTGATAAGATGGTTTCTCTGAGTCAGACAGGCTGGAAATAACTCCTGGCTCTACCAGTGGTAATTACGGTTTTCTTCAAAGCTATTTACTCATTTAGGAGATGGAGATATTAATAATGGCTACTTCTTGGGTTGTCACAGAAGCTTAAATGAGATAATGGGCGTGAAGTGCTCACATAGAACTTGGAACATGGCTGGTGCTTAGCAATAAGGAACTATTATTAATTTTGATCACGGAACATCTTTGTTGTTGAAACATCCTCTACCATCTTGAGGGATCCTGCATTCTACAGAAAACAATCTGAGTGACGTTTACTTTTACCAAACTTTTTTTTTTTTCAGGAGAAACTGAGTCCAAAAGAGTGGCTGCTGTTTCAGTGCTTTTATTTTGAAAAATGTGCAGGGTTCAGCCTTTTCCCATGTCAGTCATTTCCACTCCCACACAAGGAACAACAGAAGGACACAGGTTTGGGGTTGAAATGATGTGCTTTTATGGGAAACAAAAATATCCAACAACAATAACAAAATCCCCTCAATCTCGCCAAGTTCTTAACCACTGACGATGAGGCAGCTTCAGTGTTTGCATCTTGCTGGGGACGTTTCTAAAGGGTCAGGAGAGTGAAAAGATACTGGCCAAAAAGAGAAGTTGCAGGGACGGCTGACATCCTAAATGAGAGCACAGCCAACTTCCCTTTGGCCCTCACCCTATCACCCCTTCCACTCAGAATCTCCTCCCAATCTACAAAGATCCTTCTGCTGAATTTTCCTCAGATGCAGTCTCTTCCAGAAGGCTTTCCTTGGTCTGCTCTAACTGCATATGACTTTTCAGTAACATCACGTACACTTTCTCATTCCTTCTCTGATCACTTTCTGCCTTACATCCGTTATGTTTGGGTACAGCCTTACGATACCCACTGTTAGTAGGCATGCCCCTGAGACTCAGTCCCAGGTAGACTCACCCTGGTGCTCCCCTCCCCTCCCCCATTCAGTGCTCAGTATTCAGCAGGTGCTTAACATCAGAGGTGCGCAGTGAGGGTTTGTTCAGTTTAAGTCAGTTCTACGTTTGCCATGTCACATCACCAGCCTCTTGAGAGTCATTATTGTCATTTTCAATTCTTCATCCTTCCTCCATGACCTCAAGATAGTCCAACTCAAGGCATCTCCAAGAAGGAACAGCTCCCACCAAACATTGCCCACTCAAGGTGAAAGTTTTGGAGAGGTGAAGAGAGGTTAAGCCTTCTCCCCTGTTCAGGGAGGTGAGCAGGCAGGAAAGGAAGCCACCGGGGAAATCCAGGATGGCCATGAGTGCTGTTGGCCAACACTTCATTTTGAAATCTTGTAAGCAGCCACTCTTCCAAAAGTTTCCCCATTAAATATGGCTAACTTTTCAGCACAAGCTGAGGACTGGTGGAGGTATGGTATGGTTGTCCTGCCAGCCCACAGACCAGAGGCATAGACCAAGAACCTTTCTTTGGGACATAGCCTGTTTTCTCTCTGGAGGGTAGTGAGAGTCGTCTGTCTGGTTGTTCGGTTGGAGCTCTGGTGGGAATGTTAGCCCTGCGGTGTTGAGTTGTCAGGCACGTAGATTGTAATAAGGCTAAAGAATACAGGCTGCCATCATGGGCCTCTCCTTGAAAGTGGGAAGGGTCGGGAGGTGCTGGGAGCAGTGAGGGAGAGAGGAGGATGCCAAGAGAGCCTGCAGCTCTGATTCTAATAGGTGCCCTGCTCTATCTCCCACTTCCGCTCCCTCTCCTTTCCTCTGGTTCTCCAAGTCCAGGTCAGGCAAAGGGGCCAGCTGGAAGTGGTAGAGGGAAGGGAAGGGCCTTTTTCTTTTCCTACCATGAATCCTAGATTTGAACAAGGGAGAGGCTACAGTCCAGGGCAGAAGGAGGAGGGTTGAGGAGCTGAGGAGAGGCCTAGGCCCTGTCCACTTCTGTTGACTGGTATAATGACCAGATTTGAGGCTCACACTTTTAACTGCATTGCCCCCAGAGAGCACTGAGCTCCTAATTAGGGGTGTTGAGAAAGTTCTTCATGGGCGCTTAAAGGCGCTCATTGATTTGGGGAGACTGCTGCAGATCTTCCCATGGGAGGGCCCCTCTGGGGCCAATAAGGTGTGGAAACCATGTGGTCAGCATGAGCCCTAGAAGTTTAAGAAAGGGGCCACGAAGCAAAGAGAAGAGAGACTTCTTCAGGCACCTTCTTTAGGAAAGAGAGTTGGACCTTGGGGCACTCAAGTTAGGACAGATGTTTCAGTATAAAAAGGGTCCCCAATAAAAGGACAGAGTCCCCTCAAATCCCTTCCCAGATCCCACAGCACTTAGAAAAGAGGAAGTAGAGAGCATAAAAACATCTCGATGATGTGGGCTTGCCTGACAGCACAGAAAAGCAAGTCTCATGGCAGGCAGTGTGTCCCATTACACAAGAGAGGATTATACCGAGCTTCAGTAGAGAGATTTTACATATATCTTTATATAAATGCATATATATTTATAGAGCCTCTGCCTAGAACAGCCGGGCTTGCTTCTTCAGTTCATTCCTCTTCCAGAGGGCCAGCCGGTCAAACTCGGAGATCGTCATGCCAAAGACTTGGTAGAACTCTTCCTGGGACAGATGGCGCTGAAGGAGGTGGGGCGGGTGAGGGTGGGGGACAGAGAGAGAGAGCAGCATGAGGATGGAAGATGCGGGGGCAGGCGGAGGCAGCAGTGGGCGCTGCATGTTCCTTCCCACCTTGTGCCTTGCACGGTGTCTGAGCCAGGGGCCTGTGTGATGAATACTTGTTGAATGGGTGAATATGGGAATGAACGCTTCCCCAGGGAGGACTCTGGAGCTGATATGGCTGAAGAGGCCTCCCCTGAGAATGACTCAAGTGGGACTTCTGCTTCCACTACACACCCCCTCCCCTTTATGCATGCCTGCTTCATGCATTTGTATCTGGAAGTGTGTGTGGCTTCATGCTATCCCACTCCCCTTTGAAAGAAAAAGGAGGCATGTCCAAGATTTTAGGGGATATTTCCTCTTGCTTATGTTTTAACAAATGATCTGGAAAGCTGTTCATCAGGCCAGTCAATGAAAAAAATTACTGCTCATAATTTTTGAAGCACCAAAATATCCTTTTATCTTTTTGTGATATGAAAACAAATATGCTTTATAATCAAGCCCTTGTCTGCATTCTATAGTAGATTTTCCCCTTTCTGGCCTCCTTTCCTTCCTCCCTTCTAAGCAGCTTTAAATGTGTGATACATTGTCAAGAGCTTTTAGTTAGAAATATACAGCAGTTAAAATGTGGCAAAATGTTAACAATTGGTGTATTCAGTGAAGGGTAGACGGATGTTCATTTTACTGTTCTTGCAACTTTCCTGGAGGGCATAATATTTTTCAAAATGATATGTAAAATTAAGTTTAAAAAGAGAAATATATGCAGAGATATATGCATATATACTGCCTGCAAACTTAATGGATTCACTTGAGCTGGCTTGTTGGTAGCAATTACATGAACTGATTGGGTGCGGAAGGAGATTCAGTGAAAATTACTTATGTGACCACACAACAATTAGCCAGTTCTCTGGCTTGCTGTCACTGCGAACTTTTTTTTTTTTTTTTGAGACAGTGTTTTGCTTTGTCGCCTAAGCTGGAGTGTAGTGGCACAATCTCAGCTCACTGCAACCTCCGCCTCCTGGGTTCACCCGATTCTCCTGCCTCAGCCTCCCAAGTAGCTGGGACTACAGGCCCGCACCACCATGCTGGGCTAATTTTTTGTATTTTAGTAAAGACGGGGTTTCTCCATGTTGCCCAGGCTGGTCTTGAACTCCTGAGCTCAGGCAATCTGCCCTCATCAACCTCTCAAAGTGCTGGGATTACAGGCATGAGCCACTGTGCCTGGCCATGTGAACTAACATTTTCACCATACCTTCAGAATTTCAAGCAAAGGTAATAGTGATAATTTTTGGTCAATAATTTTTGAAGTAGTAGAGCTGGGACCAACGTCTAGGCAAAATGCATTACAATCTCACTGCCACTCTCAGCCCTGTTAAAAAAGCTCATAAGTAAGTCTTTCTATTATGAAAAATGTCAAAACTACACAAAAGAGAGAAAATAGGACAAAGCACATGTCCATTATCCAGATCCAGTAATCGTGAGGTTTTCCACATTTGCTTCATTTATCTATTTTACTTGCTGAAATATTTTAAAGCAAAGCCGAGATATTGGGTCAGTTTATTCCTATGCACTTCAGAATGTATCTCAAAACACATTGGATGTTTTCTCACATTGTGGTTACACGACAACATGAACTAACCCAAGAAAATTTAACAAGAATTCCTCAGAATTCCCCGATACCTGTCCATCACAAAGTTCCTGTCTTGAAAATGTCTTTTCACAGTTGGTATGTCTGAACTAGAACCCAGGCAATGCCCACACATCACATTTTCTTGTTAGACCCCTAAGACCCTACCTCTTTCTCTGTACCATTGACTTCTCCATGTTTGTGCTACTCAAGTGAGTGATGAAAGACATCTTAGATAGGAGAGATCCCATCTCTGCTCTTTCCATGGTAAAGACTGAGGGAAACTGCACTTTGGAGTAATTTATTATTGTTGTTGGAGGGTGATAGTCAGTATTGATTTTCTAGTGGAGTTTCTCTACCATGTTCAAAAATCTTTGTTATGTGGCTTGATATAAAGGAATAGTAGACTCAACCTCAAGTAATGTGTTCACAATAGGACACATTGGAAGGAGACCAGGGCTTATCTCCTCTAGGGGCTAGCTGGGGCCTCCTTTCTCCCTCCAGTTCTCAAGGCCCCTAATGCTACTACTGTCCATCTGACATTTGCCACAGAAAGGTGTTAAAGCAGGAAGGTTAAGAGTGCATCTCTTAGAGCCAGAGAGATATGGCCATGTGACCATGGACAAGTTACCTGACTCCTCCTGAACTTCAGTTTCCTTTTCTGGGAAATGGGAGCATCCTAGTGTCTGCATTATGAATACCATGAGGGTGAATGAGCAGATACAGGTCCTGTGCTCAGCATTCAGGGGCACATGGAAAAGCACTCAGTCTGGTCACTCTCATGATCATGGTGATCTTTTCATGCACCTCTTACATCGTGTGATCTGCTCCCAGTTTCCTTTGACTTCATCTTCTCCTCCTCATCTTTTTTGTGCACACGTGACCCTAGACACACTCACCTTCTGCTATGGTCAAACACAACAAGCTCACTCCTGCATCAGGGTCTCAACACTGACTGTTCCCTCTGCCCAGAAAGTTCTTCCTTCTTATAAAAGCATGCCCAACTCCCTCAACTACTTCGAGTCTTTGCTTAAACGTCACGCATCCAATGAGACCAACTCCGATGATCCTTTTTAAAACTGCAAATCCCCTTCTCTTCTCTCCTTTTACTTTTTTCCTCAGCACTTACTACCTTCCAACACATGGTGCCATTTCTTTTTTTCTTTGTGTCAGCAATATTGACACAAATAAAGGAGACACATCTTGTGTCTCCTCACACAAGGATGTAAGTTCTGAGAGGGCAGGGTCTCCTGTTTTGTTCATTGATATATTGCAAGCACCTCAAATGGTGTGCCTGAATGCTTCTAGGGGTATAGGAGGAGAGCTAGATTTGCTCCCTGCCCTCAGGGGTCCACAGTCTCAGGATTGTACGTAAAACTAATGCTTGTAATGGGGGAAGAGAGGGGAGGCAGCACTGTGTAGATAAGCAAGGCTCAAGTTAAGCTCCCTCGGTTCAAACTGATTTTGTCATCACTAAGTGATCAGCTTTAGCCACATGACAGCCTTGATGAACCCCTATTTTCTCCTCTGTAAGGTGAGGATGATTCAATAACTATTTGTTGGATTAATGAATATCTATTCTCTGAGCTCCTTGAGGACAGGGTCACAGTTTTCCTTCTTCAATTCCCTCCTGGAACTAGTGCAGGAGGCTGGGGCAGTGTCTTTAGCCCATGTACCACAGCCCAGGTTATATTTTAGACATTGCTGGCACTTTAAAAAAGTTCTGATATCTGAGCTCTTTCTCCTTCCCCAAATTGTGATTGAATTGATCTGGGGTGGGGCCTCTGTATGTTATTTTTACAAAGCTATGTGGGTGATTCTGATGTCAGGTGATTCTGAAGAATGTTTCCATTCCTGAAAACTGGCTTCACTGAGCTGCCCTGGGAGCTGTCCCCTTCAGCACTGGTGGTCACTCTCATTTGGAGACAGTGAAAGGAGGAAGCCTTTGTTAAAATGTGAGGAGAATCACCTGCTTCTCGGGGTGCTAACCCAGCATGCTAGTGCTGGAAGGACTCGCAAAGCTTCCTGGCTTGCACGCATTCCCTTCTTTCTGCCCCAACCCTCTACCCTGGGCCAATTCCATGCCATCAAGTCAAGGGCAGCTCATATGCTCTTCCAGAGGAGTGCTGAGCCTCCTCTTTCAGAAGCCTGCACTCAATCCCACAAATGTTTCCTGACACTTCTCCCAGCCCAGACTCTGTGGGAGGACAGACAATGTTTGCCCCTAAGAAACTCAGGGTCAGGCAGAAGAAATGGATACATCCATGATCTGATACACAGGAGAGTGAGAGGTGATTGATGTACTTTGGATAGAAGGCTGGAGGAGGCCAGAGGACAAGGGGAGTGACCCCTCCTGGAGGAGGGTTGGAGGAGGTTTTGGGGCACAGGGATTACTTGTGTGGGGGCACTAAGGAGCAAGGAGGCTGGTGAGATGGGAAGGACATTGATATGGTTTGGCTGTGTCCCCACCCAAATCTCACCTTGAATTGTAATAATCCCCACCTGTGAGGGATGGGGCCAGATGGACATAATTGAGTCTTCAGGGCATATATTGTTCTCCTGGTAGTGATAAGTCTCATGAGATCTGATGGTTTTATAAAGGGCAGTTCCCCTGCACATGCTCTCTTGCCTGCTGCCATGTAGGATGTGACTTTACTCCTCCTTCGCCTTCCACCATGATTATGAGGCCTCCCCATCCATGTGGAACTATGAGACCATAAAACGTTTTTTTCTTTATAAATTACCCAGCTTCAGGTATCTATTAGCTGCATGAGAACGACTAATACAGACATTCTAGGGAGAGGGAGAGGCAGGGAGAGGCACCAGGCTGTAAGGATCAGAGTGTGCTCCAGCACCAGAGGAGGCCAGGGACTGGAACTCCATAGCAGGTGGTCTGGACTGCTTGAATGCCTGGCACCATGTTCAGGCCCACCTCCGCACCTTTGTTTATGCTGTTCTCCTCTCCATCTCCATCAATCCCAAACTCTACTTGTCTTCCAAGTCCATCTACACCCTTCCTTTTCCTGCAAACCTGTGTTGACCACCTCAGGCCTTAGTGGTCTTCCCTAGACAGCAGTAATCTAATGTTCATTGGGCACTTCAGACTCAGTACATTGCCAGATTCTATGCTAAGGGATTTATGGGTATTGGCTCACTCACCTCTGTTGGCAGCAGGAGAAAAGCACACCAATCAATCACCCTCACTTTACAGAAAAGAAAAGTTTCAGTGAGGTTGTCACTCGGCTAACGCTGCCCACCTAGTGATGGCAGAATCAGAGTTTGAACCTTGGGAGTTTGACTTGAGACTTATTTATGCTTTTGTTCCTTCTACATAATGCTGCCTTGCCCTGTCTGCCATCACAAACACTAGTTTTCTGCACAATCCTGAGACTGAGGGCCCCTTGTGGGCAGGGAGCAAATCTAGCTCTCCCGCAATTCTGCAGAAGCAACAGCCCTAGTTGAGGAGTTACTGTCTCTGTGCACCACAGACGCTAACTGAATTGAAGAGGACACAGCAAAGAACAGCATGGGGCAATTTTTGGGGGAATAGCATGGGGCAATTTTGGGGAACAGCATGGGGAAGCTTTGGGCTGAGGAAATTGGCTCAAGTTCCCGCTTTTTCAAAAAGCTATGTGATCTTAAAGCCACTCACTTCACCCAGCCTTCTTGAGCTGGGTTAGATCAAGCAACTTCTGAAATTTCTTCCAACCCAAGAGCTCCTGCTCAGTTTTCTAGACTTACCTCTAAACGGGTCCGGTCTACATCCTTGGGCAGTCGGTTTCTTCCTCTTGTAGTCACCAGCAACAGTTCATAAGGGTAGATCTAAGGAGAAAGGGGGGTGGTCTCCAGCTTGGGTGAGGGTGGTGGGCTTGTTCCTTTCAGGTATGTTTTGTGTCTGGTCTCTCTGTTCTATCCAGAAAGGGCCAGAAATTAAGTCTAGAGGAAGGGCTGGATCTGTCCTCCTTGGGGTTGTCCAGAAGCCTTAAGATACCTTCTCTTAAAAGGTAAGGCTCCACAGAGTCCCCCTAATACTGCCAGGAATAAGCTTGGAGGTATTTGCCATGTGCCCATGGAATAATATAGGCACATGACCTCCCGAATATAAGTGTCTAATATTTGGTTACTGGCAAGCCACCAGAGTGTCTCTGAAGCCCAGGGAGGGTATGTGATTTCAGTAGGCAAGAGACCTAGGGCAGGATTCAGGGAAAGTGGGCCAAGGAGGGACAGGAAACGTTGGTCTCAAAAGGACCCTTGGGGTTATTTATCTATGTTCCCTTCCCTGCATAGACAGTGCTGTCATCTTCCTGCTGATCCCCAGTGTAGCAGCTCCAAGCATCCTGGAGACCCCCAGGGTCTATGCATATCCTTTACCTTGTACTCTGCAGAGAGAAAAAGAGACACATACAGAATGGAACCCATCAGTCTTTGCTTTGCATCACTACATGGGCCTCTGCCCTACTCTCTCAGGGGTTCTGACCTCTATTGTCTCCTCCTCTTTACCACCAGAGACCCTGTCCTTGCTGAATTCACCCTGAAGGATAATCAAGGCTGGTATGAGTACAGTGGAAGGCTGAAGATAGGGGTTGGGCTGATCTTGAAATGGTTCTAAGGAAAAAACAGCCTTTGAGATATTTAGAATAGAGATTAGAAGAATCTGCAATCTGAAACACATGGGCAAGATCCTCTGTCTTCTGTGGGGAATCCTCCGAGGTTCTGATGTGGGCCCCTTCTGCCAGAGCTTGTTTATAGGAGCTGGTCGAGGTTGGTATGAAAGCATCACTGGCAGAGAGCAGGAAGCTCATGGAATTCTTACTGGGAACAGTGTGCATTTGGCTCTGAGTTGCTTCCCTTCACCAGGGTTGGGAGGCAACCCTTGCTCCACAGTCCAGGGAGAGGAGAGCAGCACTGTGTGATGGCTCTGGGAACCCAGATGGGACAGGTGGCCTGGAGATCACCCAAGGTCAGGACTTGAGAGGATGAGGGAAAAGCAGGGGAAAAGGGAGGGGGTAGGAGGTGAAAGGGAGTAAGAACTCGGGGTTGGACACAGCCCAGCGTGGGGACAGAATCTGTAACCATCATTTGCCAAGGATCAAGCAGCAGTTTTGAGTGGTATGTCCGAAGCCCTCTCCCCTGTAGACCCCCTGCAGGCCTGCACTCACCTCGCATGCCCCAGTTGACCGCGTTCATGCTGTCATAGTGGAAGAGGTCTGCGCTGGGCGTCTACAGAAGAGACAGAGCCAGGGCTGGCCTGAGTGAAGCTCACCTCTGCCTTCCTGAAGCACTCACCTATCTCCAGAAAACGGACTGGCGCTTGTGGGACCTAAGGCCCTCTCAGCAGCCTCCATCTCAAGTTAGGGAAACGTAACTCGCTGCTCTATCCCTGTGCTTTGTCCTGGCTTACAGTGGACACTCAATAGATATCCATTTATTTGGTGAATTTCACTTCATGCTTTCTTTCATTGTTCAAATATCCCTTTTTCTAGATTTGCCCTGACAACCCTGTTGGAAATTGCAAGTTGCTCCTTCCATGACTCTCAGTCCTCCTCATCCTGCTCATCATCTTTCTTTTTCCATAGCACCATGCTCAGGGAGCTCGGAAAACTTACAGGCCATGTTAGAGGCCAGTGGGGCATAGCAGTTGGGGGTGGGCTGTGGGGCCAGCTGGCCTGGGCTTGAATCCTGGCTCTACCACTTCTTGTGGAAGAGTGAGGGTAAGTCACCTCACCTCTCTGTGCTTCTATTTCTGCATGACAAAGTAGGGTAAATGATAGTAACTACCTCTTTGGGTTGTGAAGGCAAAATGAACTACTTCTTGTAAAGTGTTTAGCTCAGTCCCTGGCACAGAGTTATCACCCAATAAGTACTAATTGTTCCCAAGCCCCTTTTCACTAAGAGGTCACCAGGGAGGGAAGCAAGTCATTGCCATGCAGTTATTTCGGTTAACCCATCACTAGCCCCAGGACCTTTGCCCAGGATTGATACTGGATTTATTAGCATTTTGGGGACAATGTCCCCCCCACCCCGCAGCACAGCTTCTTACCCTGTGCAGCCCATTTCTTCTGTAGGCAGGCAGGGAGGCAGATTTGGAGATGAGAGGATCTGAAAAGAAGGAGCCCAAGCAATTACCAGGAGCCTGAAGCCATGGGTCCCTCTCCCCAAGGTCATCTGGCCACCAATGGCCAATATTGCTCCCAACCTTGTAGGAAGGGGTGGAGGCCAGAGGCCACCAACTCCTCCTGATGCTCTCCAGGTTTGCAACTTGACTGTCTCAGGGGGCACTTTAGCAGAATTCTAGGTATCCATCCAAGGCACCCACTCACACACTCTTCTACCCTCGACCTGCACACCTCTATCTTCCTGTGATAGACCTCTGTGTCCTGGCCACAGGCTGGCTCTAAAGAAAGGCTCCGCAATTGGAGTCAAGCTCAGAATCCAGGTCAGAAGGCTCCCAGGTGGGTGGAAGAGGTGTGTGCATTTTCTTTCTCTCTGGGACCACCTGTTGGGATGTCAGTCCTAGTTCTAGAACCCCACGTGGAGACCCACAATCTGACAAATACAATGGGGTGGACTATTAGAGGTCAGGGGTGTGCTGGGACATTGACACTGTATGGTCATTAGAGCTGTGGGGAACTGCAGCTGACACAGTTCTGTTCCTCATGGGACATGATGGGCTGAAGGTAGGGCAGGCGGAACTTACCACTGTCAGCCAGGTAGTGTGACCGAGGAGCTGCAGGAGAGAAAATCTAAAGGTCATTGCTCATGAAGACGACGAACATGGAGGAGACAGTTCGTCTCCATGGGGACAAAGAGATGTGGCTTCCCAACCCAGTGCCCCTGGCTGGCTCCATCAGCCCCTCCTTCCTCACTGGTCAGTTTTCAATTGCTGCACTTGCACCCCATCTCCCTCCGCTGCCCAGCTCCTAGTCTGGCAGCTGGCGCAAGGCAGGTGCTCTGTGATTTTTGTTGCACAGGTGTGGTTGAAGAGGGTTGAATTTCGAACAGCACTGGTGCACTGCACAGAGCCCAGAGGCAGTGTTTGAAAACACTGTCCCTCAGTGGTCAGGCAGGGAAACAGGCTCGGCAGTTCACCTTGGCTCTGCCATTAGTAGTTATTTAATCTCAGACAATTTACTTAATCAAGGTTCGGTTTTCTCATCTGTAAAATGGGGAGTGATAGTGTCTCCTTTATAGGATTATTGTGAAGAATATGTGACACAATACAGTAAGATACTTAGCATAGTGCCTAACACATTTATAACACTCCATAAAACTGCCCTTATCATTATTGCCACCAACACGGCCATCTTCAGTCTAACTGAGAGTCAAGGTGTAGTAGGGGAAAGAGGAAAGAGCTCATGGCCTTGGGGCTATTCCAACTTGGGTGTGATCCTGGCTCAGTCACTTACTGGCTTTTGACATGGAGCAAGTGGCTTAACCTCAGTTCTCTTATCAATAAAGTGGGTGATGATAATCTGTCTACCTTGCGGCTCTACCGGGAGTGTTAACATACCTACAAATGCCTGGCACACAGAACTATAATAAATGATGCATTTTATTAGCCATAAAGTATTGATGTGAGATGAGATTTCCTGGCAGGACTGCATCCCACAGTAGTAAGAAAAGGAGGAGGCGGGTAGAGTATGTGTGTATGTGTATGTGTCCAATCATAGGGAGGAGCTTGCAATGAGACTTTCGAGAAGTGTTTGAATAAAGCCCCTGCTTGTGTTACTTCAAGTCACGGTAGGCTCACTACCTCAGGAGGCCATCCCTTGCATCTTTGAGCAATTCTGATGATTATAAGACATTTTTCTTTACAGTGAATCTGATTGTAAGTCAGAGCTTCAGATGCCCCAAAGAAATGGGAGGGACTGCCCAGGGCAGAGCATGGTCTTACATGGTGCCCCATACAGCCCCTTCCCAAATCTGTATTCTAGACCTTGATGAAGCTCCCAGAGTGGGGATTGTAGGGTTTGGGGCTAACCTTTGTGGCCAGCCTCTTTGGATTCTTTCATTGGCCCAGGGGATCGAGACTGGGCTGGCTATGTTCCAATAGAACCTAATTTATAAAAACAGGCAGGGAAGCTGATTAAGCAAGCTCCATTACTGATAAGTTGAGTGATCTTGGGCAAGTCACCAAAGGCTTCTGTGCCCTCACTTCCCACCTGTATATGTAGGGTGATAAGGGCACCCCCTCCCACCAGGGCTGCTGTGAGGAAGAAGAGAGGAGGCATGGGCTGTGCCTCAGGGGAGCCTGGCTCAGCGTGAACAGCTGACACTGGCAGTCAGGGGTGTCCCCACCCCACTGGGCTTCCAGAGCAGCGCTTACAGCCATTGAGGGACATCTCATAGCCAGATGTGTGCAGGGCCTCCCGGCTGCTGGTGGAGCTCCGGGGAGGGGTCCAGGGGTCTGCATAGGAGCTTGACCGGGCCTTCATCTCTTCCTTCAGAATCAGCCGGCCAATTCCACTCTGGAGCTGAGGATGGGGGAAGAGCAAGATGAAGTTAGAAGGAAAACAAAGGACACTGAGATGGAACGAGCTTGGGCAAGGCTGAGGCTCAGATCCTCCACAGCAGCCTGCTGTCACGTTTGCCTTCCCAGCGTCCCTCCTTCCTTGTGGCACTCATATTTCCCATTGGAACCTCATCTGGTCTTCCACAAGTTGTCCTGTGGTCTGGATGGGGGTCTGGTGGTGGGCACAAAAGAGCAGTCCTGGCCAGTAACAGGATCCCATTGTCCTGACACAGTGATTGATTCAACAATAGGCAGATAGCCATCTCTTTCTCTTTAACTGGGGTGAAAACTACTTGACTTCAAATTAACCATTTGAAAGGAAACCATTCAGTGGCATTTAGTATATTCACGATGTTGTGCAACCACCACCTCTCTCTCGTTTGGAAACACCATCGTTACCCCCAAAGGAGATCCTATGCCCATGAAGCAGTCACTCCCCATTCCCCTTTCCCCACCCTGGTAACCACCAAGCTATGTTCTGTCTCTCTGGATTTGCCTATTCTGCATATTTCATGGAAAAGTAATCACATAATACATGACCTGTGTCTGACCTCTTTTATGAAGCATCATGTTTTCAAGGTTCATCCACATTGTGACACGTATCATTACTTCATTTCTTTTTATGGCTGAATAATATCCCACTGTATGGACATACCACATTTTGTTTATCTATTCATGAGCTGGTGGACATTTGTACTGTTTCCATATTTTAGCTGCTGTGAATAGTGCTGCCACGAATATGGGTGTATACGTATTTGTTTAAGTCCTGTTTTCAGTCCTTCTGGGTATATATCTGGGGTGGAATTGCTGGATCATATGGCAATGTATGTTTAACTTTTGAGGAACCATGAAATTGTTTTCCACAGGGGCTGGAACAAGGGTTTCACAAGCCATGAACAAGGCTTGCAAGCACCTGCTTACCATTATGTGAAAATAGCTTGCCTGAGCATGAAGCCAGTGCAGAGGCAAGCCTCACAAGAAAAGAGACAAATTCCCTAAGGCTGTTTTTGAGCAGTTGGATCTAGTCATACTTTAAGCTAATTCTACCATTTGATTTTTCAGTTACGCAAAAAGCTATGCATTTCTTTTTTTTTTTTAATTTCATTTTAGGTTTTGGGGTACATTTGAAGAACATGCAAGATAGTTGCATAGGTACACACATGGCAGTGTGATTTTCTGCCTTCCCCCCCTTCACCTATATCTGGCATCTCTCCCTGTGCTATCTCTCCCCAACTCCCCACCCCCCACTGTCCCTCCCCTATTTCCCCCCAACAGACCCCAGTGTGTAGTGCTCCCCTCCCTGTGTCCATGTGTTCTCATTGTTCAACACTCGCCTATGAGTGAGAACATGCGGTGTTTGATTTTCTGCTCTTGTGTCGCATTTCTTTTTTCTATCATAGCGGACTTGAATTTGTTTGTTGTCACTTGCAAATGTGATCCTCAGCGATATAAACATCTTATTCAGTGGTGTGGCCTACTCACCTTGTGCATGCTGCGGTCAAAATCATCCTCCTCTCCAGATGAGAACCTTCTGGCTCGGGGCACTGTCAAAAGACAGATAAGACCAGCTCCAGTATGTGCGCCCCACTCAGCCTGGCTTAAGGCATTTTTTTTTAAAAAGAAAAGCCACTTTTCATTGTTTTTAATCTTATTTTTCAGTGAAAACAGTCTTGTCTAAGTGAACTTCCACATCAGCTGAAAGTGGTCTCTGCTGCCTTTGTGGCCTCTGAACACTCCTCTCCTGTGGGGATGGATCACTGCCCACTTGGTTATAGTTGTATTTGTGTCTTGCCTCCTTTTCTAAATGAAGACTTCTTCGAGTGTAACAGGAGAGTCATCCTTTCATTAAATTTTTAAATTTGTGACACAGGGGCTCACTCTGTCACCCAGGCTAGAGTGCAGTGGTGTGATCATGGCTTATTGTAGCCTCAAGCCCCTGGGCTCAAGGGATCCTCCTGCCTCTTCCTCCCATGTTCCTGGGACTACAGGAGTACACCATTATGCCCAAAGAATTAAAAACTTTTTTTTTTTGTAGAGACAAAGGCTAGCTATGTTACCTAGGCTGGTCTCAATTTCCCAGGCTCAAGTGATCTTCCCACCTTGGTCTCCCAAAGTGCTGGGATTATAGGCATGAGCCTCTGTACCCAGCCCCAAAGAGTCATCTCTGAGCTTCCATGAAGCTTTGCTCAGAACGGACATTCAATTAGTAAAGACGGTGAATCAGAGTGGATCTTGATGAAACTATCCCCCCATACTTGAGAGGAACAGCTTGGGTTGTCTGATTGGGTAAGGTGGAATCTGAGGACCACTAAGATCCCTTACCAGGGTACCTACAGGAGCCTTGCATCTCCCCACATCCTCTCTTTCTCCATCCTCCAAACCATTTTTTACCCTACAGCCAAAGTGGTCTCTCAAAAGCACAAATATGATCATGTCACTCACTGCTTAGGATAAAACCAAAATCCTTACCCCAGTCCACAAAACCCCAGGTGACCTCCTCCCTCACCTCTACTGCTTCTCTTCCTCTCTGAGTTCAAGGTTTAAGTGGACAGTGTTTCCTTTCCTCTGGTGGAAACCTCCCTCACATCTTGGGCGTTTGCAGAGGTATTTCGACACTCTCTGCTGTGTTACATCCTTGCCACCCTCCCACTGGCAGCTGAGTGGCTGCATCCGAGAAGCTTTTGTCATCTTCAGGCTGGACAGCAGCCTCCTGCCATCAGCTCTCCTACCTTCTGTGCATCACCTTCGTCTCATGGCTGGGACCCATGTCTTCTCCACAAGGGCAGGGACCTGGTCTGCTTTGCTCCCCAGTGTATTGCGAGGGTCCATGGCCAGCGTTTAATACATATTTGTTGAATGAATAAACACCCTCAGTTACAAACCCTCTAAGCACTCTGATTCAGAATGATTGTATAAAGGAGTGGGCAACTGTTCTGAACACCTGTGTCCTTGGCATAGGTGATAGGGTCCTGGCCCCAGGCTCCTATGGGGGTGCTACCTTTGGGGGACCCATGGTAGGTCCAGTACTCAGACTCCGAAGCATAGTAGGGGTCTGGCGAGTAGGCGGGACTGTACTTGGAGGCCTGGCTGATGTCTTCACTTGTTTTGCTCTTGGTTGCTGTAGACAAATCACCTGCAAAGGACCCAAGGAGAGTACTTCAGGAAGGCAGAATGTCCTGGCTGGGACTGTGTACCCTTTTCCTATCTATACCAGGCTCCAGACCAGGGGAGTGAGGCCACTTCAAGGTGAGGGCTCTCTGTTAGGATGGGACATGGAACATCGGAGCTGGAAAAGCACTGGGGCCAAACCCTCATTTTGTATTTAGTAATCGGAGCACAGAGAGGGGAAGGGGCTTGCTGATGACCACACAGCACATGAGCACCAGAACTGGATGAGACCCGAGCCCAGGGATCTCTCCAGCACATTCCATGGATTCCCAGGTCTGTTCCAGAGTGACCTTTAAGGGTGTGGCCCCTCAAATAAGACTCAACAGGCCCCAGGTGAGCCCCAGCCCTTACCTTCCTAGCCCTTTAGAAGCCTGCCTTGTTATGAATTTGAACTCCATAATTTCTCACGACCTGAGATGATACATTCTGTTCAGGGACTATATGGCCTGAAGGAGGGAGTGCTAGACAGGGATTCTGCAAAGCCGGGTTCTGGTCCCAGCTCTGCCACTTTTCTCAGTTGTAACACTGGGCAGGTCCTAACATCTCTGCCTCACTTTCCTCATCTGCAACTGTCAGAATTGGTCTGCTGGCTCAGGTGCCGTCCAGCTTTAAGCTTCCACCTGAAGTAAGCCCAGGACAGGGGTGACCAGCAAGACCCACTGTGGTCACAACTACTTACAGAGCAGTGACTTCTTGTGGCCCAAACGTGGGTGACAGGCTGGTAGGGCAGAGAGAGAGGGACTGGGGAAATGTGTGTGGCTGCATGACCATTTCCCACAGTCAGCTACGGGACGCTTTAGGGACAAGCTCTATGCTCTGTGGAGCCAGAGTGGCAGTGGGGGGTGGGATCAGCTTCAGCTAGCCCCAGGCTATGCAGCCCCCACAACAGCACTTGCTTCCAAAGCTTCCAAATTTTCTCTTTGACTTGGGTCCTGGGAAGTGCCTCCTGGCTGATTGCATTTAGTCTTTTCCTCTGCCCTCTTTTCCAAGGCCAACCCACCTCCACCCCAAACTCCTCTTGAATCTGCCTTCGTGCCACCCCCAGAGCCCACCTGGAAAATCCCAGGAAGTCTTGAGAAGCTTGCGATCTGGGGGCCTTTTCTAGGTAGAAAGCCAAACTACTTTTGTCGGGTTTGTGCCTTTCTATGGCTGCTCAGGGGACATGGTGTGTCCTTCACGGGCTGGTGTATATGTGCACATGCTCACAGACTCACCTTGGACTCCCTGCTCAGCCCCCTCTGGAACCAAGGTTGTCTGTCTAAACTGTAGAATCTTAGGCACCCAGAGTCACTATTTAAACTTGTACTGCCCCCTCCACCAGCGAATTAGTTCAGAGCCTGGTGCAGGACTGCTTCACTCATCTCCAAGCTCCACCGATTCTGGGCTTCCCTTGGTTATCCAGCTAGACCCTTAAGCAAGTGAGGGTGCACAGGGTGGCAGCTGCTCCTCTGCAGCTTCAATGGAAGGGATGTGCTTGTTCAATCAAGGCTTAGTAAGTGCTTTGCACAAAAATGAACAAGTGGTGTTAGTGATGAATGACTTGGTGGTTCTCACACTAAGTGCAGGTAGGAATCATGGACAAAGCCAGTTACAGTGCAGATTCTTAGTCCACACTCTCCATATTTATAATTAAGGGAGTCTGGGGCAAGGAAGGGGCCAGGAAATCCACCTTTTAAATGTCTCTCAGGTGCAGATGGTCCATAGACCATTTTTTGAGAAACACTAAATCAATGAATGAATGAAAGAAGGAAGTGACCCTCTGCTCCTTACTCATCTACATCTCCTCTGCAAGTCTCCATCCACTCTCAGGAGACTGTGACTGAGAACTGCTTAGAGCAGGGGTTCCCAAGCTGGGCTGAGCATCAGAATCACTTGGAGAAACTGTTACATAGACAAAATTCGAATTCAGTAAGTCTGGGGTGGGGCCCAGGAATCTGTATGCATCCCGTGTTATTCTAATGAATATTTTGAGTGTTAACACCTTGTTGACTCTCCCGGGTATGTGCATTTTACAAAGATTTTACCAATCATGGAACTTAGGATGCCAGACAGCAGGTAAGGGAGAGATTGAAAAGGTGGTGGGAAAGAATGGAGGGGACATGAGGCCTTTGTTCTTTTGAAATGACACCAAACTCCTCCTCAATGTCACCCTGTGTAATGGGGTAGTCAACAAGAAAGACCAAGATGCAGCCCTGTGTTTTGTGGCTCCTGGCGGCCCGTGCAGGGCCATCTGCATAGATGGTTACCCTCCCCCCTCTCCTTGTGTGGCCAAGCCCTATCTGCTTCTGATCATACCATGCCGTTTGTAGATTGGGGGTTTCCGGTAGATGTTACTGTCTCCAGCTGCCAGACAGACCGGGAAAGGATAGTGGGGAGGGGGAGAGGGAGAGAGACAGGAGAAAGGGAGACAGTACTTGGTCAGTTGGTCTCGGAAGAGAGAGATGGGCAACAACTTTTTCCAAGGGGCCACTATCTTTCCCCTGGTGACTTCCTCTTCCAAGTTGAACTTCCAACCTCGTCTCAACAGGTTCCAAGTAAGGTGCGGGGAGAGGAACGGATGGATCCAAATGGTGCTGAGGAAGGGACCTGGGGCTTGAAGGGCGAGCATGCAGTCACAGGGGTGTGTGTGCCCAGCAGAACCCCATGCAGCAAGGTGTCCACTGCCTCCACCAGTGGCCACACCTCATTCCATGTGAAAATCCCCAGGATGCTGCAGCCGAATTTCAGCTTGCCCCCCTCCCCCTCCCTGAAAGACAGACAGGATGGGACCCGTCTAGGGCAGCTGAGGAAGGTGTAGATGAAACAGCAGCATGAGCTCTTGAGGGGTGAGTGAGGAGTGAAAAACTGAGCCTGGTGTCACGAGACTGGGGTCCAGGACTGGCTCTGCTGTGACTCAGAGGGAGCCTTGTCCAAACCACACCTACTCGGTCGTCTAGCCCCTGTCTTCCTCTCAGTTCCTATCGCGACCTGCAGTCACATGACATTACAGTGCTGTTCCCTCTGCCTGGGATGTCTTTCCTTGGCTTCTTCACAACTGGCCCCTTCTCATCTTTCAGCTTTAATGTTACCTCCTCCAAGAAGCTGCTCCTGACTGCCCCATCTAGCCTGGTCTCTCTCAGACCTGTCATCTCTCAGGATGACCTGTTTCATTTATGTTTGTGGCACCTATCATTACCCGAAATTATCCTCTGTGTATTTGTTTACTCATTTATTATCTCTCTCCCTACATTAGTACATAAATACCAAATACCACGAAGGCAGGATCTGCTGGGTTGAGCACAGCTGAAACCTCTGGGCACAGAACAGTGCTTGACTGTACAGAAGGAATAACAGAAGCTTGGGAAGCCAAGTAACTGGCCCACAGTCATGAACTTATAAGCAGCTGCGTCAGATTCCATCCCAAGAGCTTTGAAGCTAAAGCCTGTGGCCTTCACTGCTGTGTGCTCCTTCTGAGCCCCTCACAGCCCTCAGACATTCAAGGCATCTCACTTCAGCACCCTGCGTCTTTTCTCCCCTGGACTGGTTCTTTGAGGTCCTAATGGAGATTGGTTCTGTCAAGTGGATGAACTGAAGCCCGTGGGTGTGTTGGGGCTGGAGGACAGGGTTGGTGCAGGTGGTTGGTTAGGGGGGGTCCCTCAGGAACCAGCTTTTTGGTGCCTGTGTGGCATGGAGTGGGTGACTCAGGCACCTGTCACCCCATGGAGCATGCATCCATCCCAGGAATCCGGGCTGGCAGTGCCTACCTGGGATGTGAAAGTGCTTGGGAGCCTGGTAAGAGGTTGGAGTGGAGGACCTCACATCTAATTGGCTATGGTATGGAGAGCTCCGGCCACTCTCGGGCCCTGGAGCACGCAGGCAGTGGTCCCCAGAGAAAACAGAGGCACAGAGAAAACAGGCATTAACGCAGTGGCAGTTAACGAAGCGGTGAGGTGATGACAGCAGGGATGGGGATGGGCTGGGGTGTCCCAGCGTGCTCAGGCTCCGGGGTGGAAGCAGCATGTGCTCTCATGCACCACGTCGGCAGAAACAAGCTTGACCTTGCTTCCTGGCTTGATCCCAAAGTCAGGTTTTGTGAGGTGTAAAGATCAACTCCACCCAGCTCCAGGAAGACATCTTAGTTTGTCCCTTTTAACCATCCCCGAACCTCCACGTTCCAGACCCTCCCTTAATTGCTCCTTTCCTCCATCCAAGTGCTGGCTTCACCCCCAACCTCAGGTGAGTGTGGATGGCCTGACTGGATTGGCCCTCAGGTGAAGGCCAGTCCATACCCACATTTCGGGTCTCTTGGTTCTGCCCTCTGGATGGGGCTGGGCATGTGGATGGTGGAGTCTTCTTCCAGCCAGGGCCACAGGGCCACAGGGCCACCTGCCAGCCCCCTCTCCTGGAAGCTCACCACCCACCTTCCTGCTGCTTCTCAGTACCACACCCTCCTCCATCCCTCTGCCATCTCAGGGACTCAGGCCCAGCTGATCACCTGGGTGGCCACAGATCTCTAGAGGGCTACATTGTGACAGAGATCTTGGGGGAGCCTTGTGCTCTCTGCAGCAGGGACCCCAAGTCACTGCCTTGTCTCCCCGCCTCTTCCTCTCCCTTCAGGGGTTCCCACTTCCTTACCAGAGCGGTAGTAGTGGTGAGGTGAGCGGGAGAAGGTGGGGGACATGCCCTGCCGGTTGTAGGTGGGGGAGTCTATGTACCCCGGGCTGGAGGCACGTCTCTGCCGGAGGTCCAGGTTCTCATAGATGTCCTGGGGGAGGAAACGGGGCTGTGAGCAAGGCTGGCCGTTAAGTCTGCCTGTGGCCCGAGGGTCTAGCAGGCAGGAGGGCAGGACATGGAATCTGGGATTCCAGGGGTTGAGGCATGAATACAGCGACCCCTCTCCCTGAGTTACCCACACAGCCCGAGGAAGACGGCAGGGAATTTCCAGGGCTTTCCCCTATCACTTGCAGGCCCTTGAATGGAATCCATGGATCAATCCCTGGAATCCTGACCAGCGATCCCAGGAGCCTGAGGGAGGCCATCTCTGGGCAGGAAGGACATATTTCCATCTTTAACGCACTGCCACTTCCTCTGCGACATGTACCCGAGTCTCTCCAGTGCTCCCCTGCTTGTGAGGAGCACCTTGGGCAAGGGCTCATCCAACTTGGGGGTGGCTGGGGATGGGTGAAGTCAGCATAAAGGAGCACAATTTTATATCAACTTAATTCTCTATCATCAGAATTACCTGGGAGTAGGGAGATAATGTTCCCAGTGACTTGGAAGTGAAGAGTTTAAAGGCAGTTGTGGAACCAGCAGATGGAATGAGAGGAGCACGAAAGAAAGGACAGAGCATGGTTAGACATCTTGGCAAAGAGGGCCTGCAGCATCCCCTTGGTACCCCACTCCAGATCACAGTCTCGCTGGGAACTCCAGAGGGTCAGACTGCTGATAGGAGGCAGAAAACCTCAAGATTATGCCCGCCTTTTAGGAAGGGAAAAACCAAGGCCCAGAGAGGGAATGCGAAGGCTCAGGGCCGCTCAGGGAAGAAGTGGCAGGGACTTGACTTGGACCAGGCTTCTCTACTGCACGCTCTGGGCTATAGTCAGCATACTTCCCTGTCTCTCTACTGGTTCGTGACCCCTCTGCAGTTCATGAGGGCAATGCCCAGTGCAGGGTACCCAAATATACAGCTAAGCAGGGGCCAGGCTGCTGCCATCAATGAGGGAGTTGAGCTGGTGGCTGGTGCAGCAGCTGGAGACAGGATGTCTCCACTGAAGAGGGCAGCGGCTCCTCAGCTCCAGCGGCTGGAATGCCTGCCCAGCATTTACACGGCATCTTAATTTTCCAAGAAAGTCAGAAATGCAGATTCTTATGTGAAATCTCCCAGTGTTTACATGTTGACAACTAGTTTTCATTCTCAAAAGGCACTTTGTGAGTGAAACAAAACAAATCTGAGGGCTGGCTGCAACTTGTGGTGGGACCTGGTTTGCCATCTCTAACTGAAGGATAAGTGGTTTCTACTAAACACTTGAGAATCTAAACACCAGAAACCAGAGAATCTCAGCATTGGGCTCCTCAACCAAATGGAACCCAAATCCCTTAGAGAGGAAGGGGGCTTGCCTGAGGTCACAGGGCTAGTTATGGTGGAGCTGGGACAAGAATCAGGGTCCCTGCCCACCAGGACAGGCTTCTGCTGCCCCAAATTAACTCAAGGGGCCTGGGATAAGGATAGAAATCCTCTAGGATATAGACTGGCAGGACCTCCAGAGTAATTCTGCCCTCCACCCCCCTGCCATCTCCAGAGAACATTGTCTCTTATTTAGCAACCATTGAATTATTTCAAAAGCCATCTGTTAACTGAGGCTTCATAAAAGTGTCTCTTCAAGGGAAGAGACACTGGGACTAAAGGCCAGGTGCAAAAACCAGAGAACATGCCTAATCAGGGGTTATAAACCTAAATGGCCATTGAGCCTGGCAGGAGATGAGCGCCTTGGGCTGAGTACATGAAAAATTCCTACAGGACAAGAAATACAACAACTTGAGTAATAAATGGTCATAGGCTCTCAGCTTCAACGCTGGGATTAACAGGGAGTGGGGCAGCTGGGGAGAATGGGAAGCTCATGTCCTGTCTATAGGGGGTGCTGCTACCCATCTCCAGATGGTGGAAATATAGGTTTAATGTTGTCAGCTCTGATTTTTCAACAGAAGCCAGAAAGCCAAATTTTGGGATGAAATCTCTTCATTTAAAAAATACTGGTCTTAAATCCCCGTTTAGAAGAGTCTGGGAGCCAGCATTGTGGAGGACAAACAGTCTGTGATGGAGAGGGCTGGGGACCCCGGTGGAATTTCCTTTCCTACAACAGCCCCAAAGAGAAGGGCAAGATGCGATACCTCTCCATAGCCACATCTCTCCAGCATCTCGTCGGACGTGTATCTGGAATGAGGCTCATAGGAAATGAGGTCGGGGCGTTGTACCTCGTAGATGGACTTAACCTTGGGGAGAGCCGCCAGGTCTTTGTAATTAAGGATCTCATTATCCACTTTAGCCTAGGGAAGAGGGAAACCGACAGGAAAGGAATAGAAAGATAAGAGGGAAAAGGGGATGGAGCGAGGAAACAAAAACAAGATGCAGAAGGAACGGGCGTCTCCAGTTTCCACTAAAAACAGAAGATTAGAATCCAATTGAAGAATAACAGAATGTTAGAATAAGGGTGGTCTTAGAGGCCATCCATTCCAACAGGGCTAACATTTACTGAGCACATATTGTTTGTGAGGCCCTGTGCTTTGCAAGAATTATCTCCTCTAGATGTTGTAATTCCTCTGTGAAGTAAATGTCAATATCATTTCTATTTTCCAGCTGAGGAAACGGAGGCTCAAAAGGTAATAAAATTTGCACCACTAAGCTAATAAGTTTGAATTCAGCCTGAACTACACAGCCTGGGTGCTGACTACCTTCCAGTCCCACAGAGTGAGGACATCCCAATTCACAGCATCCTTGAAGAAGAAGATGAAGATTGTAAAGACAAAAATAATCGGGATGGTATAACACTAGCTAACATTTGGTGAGCACTTATTATAAGCCAGGCTCTGTACCAAGTCCCTTTATAGATTAACTCAATTCAGCCATACAGCTCACAACTCTAGTAGTAGGCACTAACATTATCCTCATTTTGAATAGGCAACCAGAGGCACAGAAAAATCAATTAACTTGCCCAAGGCTACATAGCTAATAAGTTGCAAGAACCCAAATTTCAAAACAGAGAGCATGCCCTCTTCAGCAGCCTCTCCTGTCTTCTTGGGACAGGGAGTTCACTGTCTTATACCACCAGAAGTCCGCCCTCAGAAAGCTGCTCCTTCCATTGAACTGAAATGAGCCTCTACCTTCTGCTTGACTTTGGCAGCGTTCAGCCTTCTAGAGCTGCATAGATTGACATATAGCTTCCCCTTGCATGTGACAGCCCATGTCTCATGGCTTCTGAAGCCATGTCCTTTCCATGACCATGTCCTCCGGCTGTTCCCTCTGTGACCTGGTGTTTGCTATGATCAACCAGGATCTGTCTTGCAAGGTCCTGAGGTTCTGTAAATTATGACAGAGGCTGCTAGATAGAGAATCCAGAGACTATATTAGTCTGATAATGTTCTCCCAATGCCATTGGAGCCAGGTACAGTCTGAGGGCCAAGACTACTTTACAGGGAGCGGCATTCATAAATACCTTATAAACTGTGCTATTTAAAAACCTACCAAGGCCCTTCCACTATTCTATCCCTGCCCCATCAGCACTGCAATTAGGGCAGTGTTGCTTATTCTCACGCTGCTTATTCTCCGTTGCCCCTAGACCCAGTGTTCACCCTTCCTTGCCTGGATCTGTGCCCTGAACACCACCTGGGCTGCATCAAGTTTCTTTTTCTCTCTGTCTTTCAGTTGGGTTTAGCCAATGGGATGCACCAGCAGAGACTAGAGGGCGAATGGAGAGAGAGGCTGACACACTTATTCCCTTGGCAACCTTCCTGTCTGGCTGTGGGCTGGGCCCAACTCTATCTGGAGGCTGGGCTTCCCCAGGTTCTTGCCAGCTTTGATAATGCTGTTCCCTTCCCTTGCCTCTTTAGGTCCAGCGTGGTAACAATGTCATGCTACTGTAGTCCCTATCTCCTGTGGGTCCATTTAACCCTGCCCACACCTCCATCATGAAACCCTCCTCAGTTGAACTCTTTGAGGTAGGCCACCTGATTTCTGCCAGAGCCTGCCTGCTACAGATACCCACATCTGCACCAATTCTGGGGGGGTATGGGTAAAGGGAGCCTTTATTAGCTGAGAGTCCACCGGCTGAAGTAATTGTTGCCTTTTGTCCTGGGTATTAGATCTTGACCTTGAGAGCTCTTGGCATCTTCCAAACTCATCTCCACCCATAACTATTCATCTTGGCACTTTACCCCAAACCTCAAAAATACTAATTTTATATTTCTTCCTATAGCCACTTTGTTTACAGGGCTATAAATAAGCCTCAGGTCTGGAGGCATACCAATTGATCAGAGGCATCCTAATATAATTAACCAGGAAGGAAGGAAGGAAGGAAGGAAGGAAGGAAGGAAGGAAGGAAGGAAGGAAGGAAGGAAGGAAACATATGGGTCAAAGCCAAACCACCTGAAGATGATTCTAGAAGTCAGTGGAGACGGAGTAAAGTTTGGAAGTTTGAAAGAACCTGCTCATTTCAGGTTCACTGATAATTCTATTTGAATATAAAATCTCAAGTATCTAGGAAAACCAAATTAAGATCCATCTTTATGCCTGTTATTGCATCTCTCCGAATCAGGTGAATGATTTTTTTTTTTTTTTTCCAAATTTGGAAGCCATGCTTGGGATGGGCTGACTGAAAACATGGCTTCCATGACATGTTCAGTCATTCCCCAGAGCAGCTGAGCACGAGGCACCATAAATGGTGAGAGCAGGAGAGGCTGGACGGGGAGACACATGCCTGTGCTAGGGTGTGAGGGACAACTGATCTCAGTGTGTAAGCCCCTGGTTGGAAGGCACAAGCACAGGTGTTCCTAGCTGCCATCATAAATTCCATTCTGTAATGGAGTTGCTTCTCATGGGGGCAATTCTGAGAAACTTTCTCTAGGACTCCAAGGTGAACATCATCAGGGCTTAACTTATTTCACAAAGATTAACAAGGCTCCTCAGTAGCACTGGGAGACTGGCTCGTGGTGAACAGTATTACAGTGCAGCAGCTTCCTGAGGTCTCCTGTCCTAGTGACTCTCTTCTGGAAATAGGCTCACATTTGTCAATAACATTCTCACTGTGCACGCCTGGAAACTAAGCCCATTAATCCTGCCATGGTCTGGTCCCATTCACAGTGCCAGGGAGACTATCACCTCTCTTGCTTTAGACAGGAATCTTCAATGAGTACAGCCTGTGATCAAAGCAGCTTGTCTTTTTTGACAGCCACATGGTATTGACCCATGTTGAAATTTCAGTCAGTGATAACTCTTAAGTGTTTTTTTTTTTCCATTTAATCAGAGAAGAAAGGAAAGGTGCCCATAGTCCCGTCAATGGGCATTATCCAGGGATCAAAGAGGAGCCTTGATGTGGATTTGAAGTAATGATCTAGCAATGGTGGTCAGGGCCAGGAGCGGCTGGCTTGGTGACTGTATCTAGAGCTTCTTGTTAGGAGAGGGTTTCTTGTTATAGACCATTTTCCCCACATTTCTGGTCATCTTGCCTCCTTTGGTTTGTGGAAGGCTGGAATAGTCCAGAATCAATCAGATTGAGGTTTGTTGCTCATTTCAGTTCTCCCTGGCTCTGCGTTCCCCACCTCCTTTAGCTTATTTCTGTTTATCCCTCTGCTTTGAGTTTAATGTTTCTTCCTTAGGATGCCCTCTCCCAACTAGTCTTAGATTGTCAGATCCCTCTGTTTATCTGTAGCATCATCAGAGGATCCTGTGCTTTTCCTTTCTGGAATTTATAACTGCAATTGATGATTCATGGCATTATGTGTTCAACGTCATGAGGACAGACATCAAGTCTGTGTAGTTCATTACCATTTCTCTAGAGCATAGCACTGTGCTTAGCAGAGCAAATGCTTGGCACATGTTTGTTGAATGAATGAATAAATGAATTAATGAAATATACAAGGGGCCTCTGAGACCATCTAACTCAACTTCTGTCTTTTCTTCTACACCCCTGGCAAATGATGAGTCTCTCTGTTTGAATGCTTGTGGAGGTGGGAGCTCAGACATGTGAAGGTGGGTCTACTCCATCCCTCGGCTCCCCACATGATTAGAAAGCTCTTCTTTACATTTGCAAATTATTTACAACCATGTTTCCACATGTGTATGACTTACTTCTCCTTGCTGCCTCTTTATCACACACCACTATCTCCACATCGATAATCCACCCAGTACCTATTCAGAATACCACTTTGACCCTCAGTTTTTTCTTGCTTGTCTCAGTTAAGTAGTGGGAAAGGAGGTGCCTGGCACTGGATTTAGAACTCATCAAGGGCTCTTGTTGTCATTGCACTTTCTTTCTCGTGTGCCATGGAACTCTCCATGATCTCTGAAACTCTGGGTTTACTAGACTGTGTGCTTCATAATGGCAGTATCTATGTCCTCCCTGTACTGCACTGAATCCTCAAGACCTGGTACAGAGCCTAGCACATGAAGAGCATGCACCAAATGTCAGTTGGATGAAAACCCGACAGCTCCCTCATCCTTGGCGACTCCTCTTTAGATACCAGGTCAGGAATAAGAAAGGCCCTTTGGTGGTAGAAAAGGGATACATACGCAGATGACTCGGTTGGGTGACCCAATGCTGGATCCAGGTGGTGAGATGGAGGTTTCAGACGTCCGTCTATGCTGCAGGAGAGATGAGGACAGAAGAGGTGAGAAGCTGCAACCCCGGCTTGGTGGGAAGGTGAGACAGGGGGTTAAGAATGCAACATTAGCAATACCATTAAAGTACTCTCTGGTTACTTCTGTACTTTCTCCTCATTCTCTGCCTTTTAAGTCAAGGTCTGAGTGTGAATGAGACCTAAAATGCAAGGACTTCAGGCTGTTGGGGCGGGATGTGGATTTATTTTCTATATATTTGCAGCTAGCAAATACATCGAAATAGGAAATTACTCTAAATAGGAAATTACTCTAAATAGGAAATTACTCATAAAACTTTTCATTTTGAGTTATCCCAGTCAATGTATTTACTTAAAAAAATAAAATTGGTTAGTATTCATTCCTTGGGAGTTTGTTTATTCAAGATGTGAAAGCGGGTTAAACTTCATGTCATTGTACAACATGCTGACTCTTTACAGTGTATTAATTGCGAATTGACATCAACTTAAGTGATAAACTTAAAAAAAAGCTGTCTCTGAACAATAGCCATGATGGATTAATAGCTTCCTTAGCAGAGCAGCATGATGTCAGTCTTAACACACTGGAGGGTGCCTGCATGATGTAAAGGGATTGGGAATCAAGGACCCACGGGTGAAGTATGTGGTCTTAGGCATTTGGATTCCTGACCTGTAAAATGAAGATGCTGAGCTTCAGGATCACTTGATTCTCTCCCAGTTTTCTCATTTTACAATTTAAATCATTCTAAGTGGAGCTATAAAGTTTCCTAAACTGTGGATTGTGAACTAGCAGTGGTTGTGGGAAGAAGAATTTAGGTGGAACATTTGATAATACTGAATCATAGAGCTAGAGAGTAAAATCTTTCAATCCCTTTGATTAGATCAAGGAGGCAGTCTCATATTTCAACAACTCTCTCAACAATTGCTGATTTCCTATTTCATTTTATTTTTTATCTTATTTTTGAGTCAGAGTCTCGCTGTGTCTCCCAGGCTGGAGTGCAGTGGCACAATCTCGGCTCACTGAGACCTCCACCTCTCGGTTTCAAGTGATTCGCCTGCTTCAGCCTCCTGAGTAGCTGGGATTACAGGCATGGGCCACCATGCCCAGCTAATTTTTGTGTTTTTAGTAGAGATGGGGTCTTGCCATGTTGGCCAGGCTAGTCTCGAACTCCTGACCTCAAGTGATCTGCCCGCCTTGGCCTCCCAAAGTGTTGAGATTACAGGCGTGAGCCACCATGCCCAGCCCAATTCCCCTTTTTAAACAAAGAGTGTGCAGGCAACATTGTCTAGCTAGAATTTAAAAGATTTATTCTTAAGAATTATTTCATTATCATTGAATTTATTTTATCATTACCTTCTACTTATAGCAAGTATTACTGGTTTCCACATGGCGATATAAATTTTTATTTTAAAATACGTTTAGTTAATAAAAAGTAGTGACTTGATTTAAAGGAAAATATTAAGTATATAATGAAACAGGTGGTGCACAGATATGGCAACAGGCATCGGGGTCGTAGAGGATGACTGAAGTTTGGGAAATGCCGCCCAAAAGGAGGAAAATGAAGAAAGGGACAAGTAGGTCTTATGCCTTAAATCGAAGAGGTCTTGGAAGAAACAGGAAAAGAAATTCAGGGCTCAAAAAATAGTTATACATCAACCAACCGGCTTTACAGAAAACTTTCATTAAGTGGATGAGATAGCAAAGAAGACATGTTTAGTTAGCTGGTCAGAAGTTGTGCTCTTGCTTTTCTAGTTCTAGCAGGTAACATAATAGAGTCCCAAGGGCTCAACTTAGTATCAGGGGACCAGGATGTAAAGGCCCCATTCTCCACACCCCAATACACGCCCCAGGTGTCCACTCACAGCTTCAAGGACCCAGAAGCTGGATCCCCCCTGCAGCCGGGCAGGATCAACCCCTCTCTGCAGGAACCCGGGTTCACAAGCCTCCCTGACATTTGTCAGAGCACAGTAATTCAGAGGGACACAGGTCCTCAGCTGGCCCAGCCTGTACCTGAGGATGTCGACTGTGCTTCTGCCTGGCCATGCCACTGCAGGCAAATCATCACCTCTTTAGACCTGGCTTTCTCACAGGCAAGGCAAAGATAAAATTCTTGCCCATCTGCCTCACGGGGTTAAAGAAATAAAATCAGACAGTGGCTGTGAAGAAGCTTTGTAAACTGTCAACTACTGTGACATTATTACTTATTACTATTAACAAATGACCTCAGGCTGGGAAAAACCATGGCGGGAGCTCCTCAGGGAGGCCGCCCTCTTGGTCAGCAATGATAGAGTTACAGCCTTACCCTAGAAACACAAAACTCACATGAATACAGTGCTTTACAGTTTCAGAGTGCTGTCACATCCAGTGCCTTAACCCCTTCAAAAACCCCATGGGGCAGGTGTTACCATTAAGAAAATCCAAGGATATAGGCACACATTTGGGAGCGTGCACACTAAGGAATGCTGACCCTGTCCCAAAGCACAGCTCTCTTAACCTGCGGCAGAAAGTAGTGAAGCAGGAGTGCTGGTCTGGGATCTACTAGCTCGCTTACCTTTAACTTCTTCTCTGCCCGGGCTGCCTGTTTGCAGATGGGGTGCCAAACCTCGGAACCTAGGGGTCAGGAAAATAAAGAAGGCTCAGACCTTTCAAACCCGCCAGCATTCTGAGTCTCTCCCCAGGCCTCACCTTGATTTACTCCGTGGTCAGCGTATGCCACTTACACATCTGCCAGAAGGGCTCCTTTTGGCTTTTCCAGCTCCCTCCTGGAACCTCTCAGATCTTTGCGACCGCTCCTATCCTTTTGCTGTGTGTCTAAATCCTACCCATTCCTCAAGGTCTAGGGCTTACATGACATCCTCTTGCAAACTTTCTTACCTGCCAGTTGGGGGTGACTTCTCGCTCCTCTGTGATCCATAGTTCTTTGTCTCTCTTTCCACACAAACAGCCTTAAAGCACAGTAGCTTATAGATCTTTCATTCCCACTAAATCAACAGCTTCTTCTGGGCAGGGACTGGGCTTTATTCATTGCTACATCTCCCACAGTCCCCAGCACGGGATTTTTTTCTTAGCAGAGATCCGTACATGTTTGTGGGGTGAAAAGATGACTGGATGATTGGTAGTGAGTGACACATAGCAGGTGGTCAATAAATATTTGTTGAATGAATAAATGACAGTGTGGATAAAAAAGAATGACAAAGCGTGGTGAACTCCAGCCTTCTTTTCTCTTGAAGACTTATGACAGTCTACCAGAGCTGTCACATTTGAGGGGGAGGAGGTGTCATGGTGTATATTCCGCTTGAGAGCATTGCCTTGACCTGCTAATTCCTCAGAGACTCCAGACTCTTCAAATTTACTATACTGCTAATGCCCACGTTTTATTGGGGGTGGGAGTCCAGTTGGCCAACCCCAAACCCAAAAGGCCAATTTGGAAAGGCATGAGCAACAGGTGGCTGGTCACATGTTGAGAAGCAGCCCCAAATACGACACATTCCCCAAAGAAGGGACAGGTGTCCTGGATTAGAAGGAAAAATAGGAACATATTATCCCTCTGGAGCCATTCCCCTTGTAACCAGCCCTAAAAGGAAAGGAGCCAGCAATGGCTGGATTCCTGAGCATCCAGATGGCATTTGTTTGTCTGACTTTGTTTCTAGGATATACTTTCTATTATGCTTTGTTGCCTGGAACCCCCAGGACTGGAATACTGGTTAAGGGATGAGATGGTGGTGAAAGGTCAATAATTCAAGTGAAAAAGAGAAGAGAGACCTGACGTGAGGAGGCTTGTGTTTTTTGTTTTTGCTCAGCCCCTAACACATCCTCTCTCTGGGTCCCAGTTTCCTCATCTGAAGAACAGTAAGGTGGGATTTGGATGGTCTTGAAGGTTATTTTCATAAGATTCTAATTCTACGGGCAGTTTTGTCTTTTTGGAATGGGAATCTTTGAGTTTTGTCTGCTGACATTCTTGGGTGTTCCTAATTATTCAACTGAGTTTAATTCCTTCTAAAGTAAAATGCAATGGTTCTCAGAGCCCAGTAGAGGGACTCTGAGTCTGTGGCTTGATCCAGCAATCACAGGGTGTGTCCACTATCAAGCTGTGTGCGGGGATCCTTACTTTAGGGAGTTATTAGAGAGAGCATTTCCAGTTCCTCTCTGAGTTGCTCCTGAATCTACCAGGAATTGTTTATGACTGTGACTCTGGCAGGAAACACATGTTACAGGTCACTGTAGGAAATGGATGAGATGGACACAGAGGTCTGAGGAGGTCATGAGCTTAAGTTAAAGAGGCATAGGAAAGATCAAGAGGGCAGAAGTCCTCATGGGGGGACATACTGTGTCAAGTGAGGGGGTCAGACTAGAGGGTCTCTCTTGCCTTCTAACTCCATGACGTTGGCATATCCTTCTGAAATAAAACTGAGCCAAAAATGCTCATTAGCTTTAGCACTCTGCATACAGGAAAACATATTTACATAAGAATCGAGGAGGGGAAAATCAAACAAAAAAAATTAGAAATGAAAAAAATCAGAATTTGGGAGTTCGTAGTAGTATACATGTAAATAAAAGGCTAAAAGAAAGTTAGTTGGTAGCTAGTAATAAACTTAGATAAAGAATGTAAGAGAAGATGATTTGTTCATGAAGACCACTGTGGAATTACGGTCTTCTGAGCTTATTCCCTTGGCCAATAGCTCAATAATGTGACACTAGCAGAAAGACAACATCATGGTAAAGAAGATGGTTATTCTCTTCCACGGATTTTATCCCCAGAGCCAAAAACAGTGCCTGGCCCATGTGTGTTTAATCAAGAAATATATGTGAATGACTCATTAGGCTGTACCTTTGTTTTTTTCTTTTTTCAAAAAGATACTAGGTAAATGCACCCACCGGAGGATGGGACCGTCTTAGGAGGGGACTCAAATGCAGTCCTAAGGCTGGGTCTTTACCCTGAAGAAGAGACCGAACAGAATGGTAAAAACTGGTTTTGAAGATTTTAATGACTCTCTGTAGGAGGAGGCATTCGTTTGTTTTGCAAGTCTTATAAAGTAGAACTAGGACTAAGGGGCAGAAGGTTCAGGGAAGGAACATTTAACACCTAAGAACTGAATAGCCGTATTCAACTGACAGTGAGCCCCTTGTTCCTAGCAGTGTTTAAGTACACATCGAGCATATAAATGCTCAGCCAGGATATCAGGAAGGAGACTCAGCACACAGCACTTATACTAAGGGATGTTTAGCCCCTCAAATCCCTAGAGATTCTGTTTCTATCTTAACAGGTTTTACTGTACAGAGAAGATAATTATTTGCCCCTATCCATTTATCCTGATAAGAATGTAAATTCTATGAGGAGAGGGATTCATGTCTGTCTTACCTACAGATATATCTGCAGGGACTCCAGATTCTCAATAAATAAATACTCACTGCGTGAATAAATAAACAAAAGAAACATGGCATTCTACCCTAGGCAGTTGGCTTCTCTAAGCTGGGCTCAGAGATTTGAACAAGCAGTACAATCTGGACTCTGAGAAGACAGAGAACACTCCAGACTGAGTCTACAAGCATATTCGTTATATTGGGGTGTGTCAAACTGTGGCCTGTGGACCACTTGTCTTGCGGCCTTGTGAAATTCAGATTCCTGGGCCCCCTGCAGAAGCCACTGATGCCAACTCCTGGAGGTGGGTCCTGGGAATCTGTGATTTAACAAGCTCCCCAGGTGATTTTATGACTTCTAATTTGAGAACCACAGGGCTAAATACCAGATAACACTCTAACTTGGAATGTTACGTGTCAAAGAAACCAATTTTACAAGACAGAACTCTAACTTTTTGTAAGAGTACAACATTTTCTGCTTGTTCAACCCTTGGTTCCATGAGTCACATTCTCCTGTCGTCTGAGATTGTCACCCACACTTCCAGGCTCTGCAGTTAAAACCTACTATGAAGGTTACGGAAGCGAAGGATTAGCTATTTCTGTACCAGCTGACTCAGAGATAGAGATGTGAATCTCTAAAACTACCTCTCAGCCAGGTATTAAGGCCATTTTTAATCCTTAGCGGAGTCAGCAGTCAGTCTTATCTCTCTGACTGGTTGTAGCACACACTACACCTGTAACATTTGGGGCTGATGTAATATTGGGGAGGCCAATGCTTTCTGTTTTTCTTTCTTTTTTTTTTGAGATGAAGTTTCACTCTTATTACCCAGGCTGGAGTGCAATGGCACGATCTCCGCTCAGTGTGATCTTGGCTCACTGCAACCTCCGCCTCCTGAGTTCAAGCAATTCTTCTGCCTCCAACTACCGAATAGTTAGGATTACAGACATGCGCCACCACACCCAGCTAATTTTGTATTTTTAATAGAGACGGGGTTTCTCCATGTTGGTCAGACTGGTCTCGAATTCCCAACCTCAGGGGATCTGCCCGCCTCAGCCTCCCAAAGTGCTGGGATTATAGGTGTGACCCACCGTGGCTGGCCGGTGCTTTTTGATTTTTAACGCCAAAGCTGGAGCTGGTATCACGGTCTTCTAGAACATTGGCATTTTAGAGGTTGCAAGCACAGTGGCTGAAAGCGGTCCATTGGAAGGTTCTGTTTGGTGAGCACTGTGATTTTAAACAGTCTGAGTCTGAAGGTTTTTAAATACTGCAGGTCACCAGTGACCCTCGCTAGTTTCTGACTCCCAGCCCTTCCCACTCCTTGATGTGGGCATTTGAGTTTTTGGCCTTGACCCTAGCTAGGGTCATTCTCTTACAGCAGGTTTCCTCTCTGGATTTCTTTTCATCATAGCAGGATGAGGTTTCTCAGGCCTCTGCCTTTATGACTGCAGCACTATCTTTGTGGCAATAGACTGGGAGGAACCTTGGAAGTGCTCCTTTAAAATCTCCATGCACATAAACCAACCCAAATGGCCATCAATCAATGAGTGGATAAAGAAACTGTGGTATGTGTGTGTACATGTATATATGATGGAATACTGCTCAGCCATAAAAGGAACAAAATAATGGCATTTGCAGCAACCTGGATGAGATTGGAGACTATTATTCTAAGTGAAGTAACTCAGGAATGGAAAACCAAACATATGTTCTCACTCATAAGTGAGAGCTAAGCTATGAGGATGCAAAGGCATAAGAATGACATGATGAACTTTGGGGACTCAGGGGGAAAGGATGGGAAAAGAGTGACGGATAAAAGACTACAAATTGAGTGCACTGTATACTGCTTTGGTGATGAGTACACCAAAATCTCACAAAACATCACTAAAAAACTTACTCATGTAACCAAACACCACCTGTTCCCTCATTACCTAGGAAATAAAAATTAAAAAAAAAATCCCCGTCCACATAAACAAATGAGGTAGATCCAAAAATGGAATATTGTTCAGCCATAAAAGGAATGACCTACTGATACTGCCATGACCTGGATGAACCTAGAAAGCATTATTCTCAGGGTAAGAAGCCAGTCACAACAGAACATATATTGTATGATTCTGTCTGTATGCGATATACAAAATCGGTAAATCCATAGAATCAGAAAACAGATTGGTGGTTGTCAGGGGTTGGGGGAGAGGGGAACGGGAAGTGACTGCTTAATGGCATGTATGGAGTCTCCTTTTGAAGTGATGAAAACGAT